TATCATCTGGTGTGTGTGTGTGCGGCGGGGGCCGGGGGTATTTACGTCTTAATCCGTCTAATAATCAGTAAATAATATTCATATTAAAATAGTCCATCTATGCGTGTGTTTGTGGACGCGCAAAGGTTACTATGACAACGCAGCATCGCCGACCCGGCCGCCGGGCGAGGACGCCCATCAGCGCCAGATAACGCAGATCGCGCTCCTCCCGAGGCCGCTCCGCGAACGCCCTTTTTCTCGGCCGTGGGAATGCGACAGTCTGACGGCGGAGAGGCGGACGCACTGAGCTCTCCTCAATAGCCTCGCGAACTTATTAAAAAAAAGAGGGAGAAAAATATCAACGAAAAAGAAAAGATAAAGAAATAAATAAAAAAGGAGGAATAATCGTGGCTGACGATATAATAAGAAGAGTTCTTCGTCCCAGAATAAATCCCGCTCTTGCCAAACTTCCACTCTGCGTCCTGAACGTTTCGTCCTCGCTTTCCGATGGACCTTTCTTCCCTCTTCTCTCTCCCTGCTTCCCTCCCCTTTTCCATCACCATTTCCTTCTCAAAATCCTCCTCTCTACCCCTTCTCCCTTCTTACTCATCTTTCTTCCCCAAATTCTCCTCCTCTTTCTCCATTTTCTTCCCACAATCCTCCTCCTCTTCCTCAGTTTTCTTCCCACAATCCTCCTCCTTTTTCCCAAACTTCTTCCCCATGTCCTCCTCCTATTCCTCAGTTTTCTTCCCCCACTCCTCCTCCTCTTTCTCCACCTTCTTCCACAAAGCCTTCTCCTTCTCTTTTCCTTTTTTCCTCGTTCTCCATTTCCCTTTTCTCCCCCGAATCCTCCTTCTCTTTCCCCCTTCTCTTAGATCTTCCCTTTTTCTTTTCTACCTTGTTCACCCTCTCCCCTCTCCTATTTCTACCTTCTTCCTTTCTTTCCCCCAAGTCCTTCTATTTCTAACCTCTCTCAATCTATCTACTCCCTTTTTAACCTCGCTTCTTTCTTACTTCTGGTTCTTAAGATTTTTGGTTATCCATCTTCTATCCCCCTCTCCTTTATACTCCCCCTCTCTAATTCCCTTTCAATCCACCCTTCCTTTCTTCTCTTGACCCATCTCCATCCAACCATGTTCATTCAACCCCTTCGATCCCCCTCCCCATTTTCATCCTCTCTCTTCCAACTCCTATCTTCGCCCATAGCCTCATTCTCCTTCTCCCCCTTTCGCCACTTATCTCTCCCCTCCCTTTTCCTCTCTCTCTAACCCTTTTAATTCTCTTTCATTTCCCTTCTCCCCCTCCACTCCTTATCTATCTTCGTACCACCGCTTACCTTTTCCCTCCCTCTCTTCTTCTCCTTCTCACCCTCTTCCTCCATCCCCTTCCCCTCCTCTCCATGCCCTTCCCACCCTTCCAATCATGATACCCTTCTCCCCCCACGCCATCCCCTCCTTCCCTCCCCTCCTCCCCCGCCTTACCTTTACCGTGTCCGATGTCGGCGCGGAAGTTGCGGTTTCCGGTCATGCCGTCGTGGAGCTGGCCGAGGCCGCCGTACAGGAGGCCCTCCGTGGTCGTGCCGTCGTAGCTCAGGTCCAGCAGGTCGACCTCCATGCCGCGGTCCTGTCCCTGGGCCATGGAGTACGACACCAGCCCGTCTGCGGCGAGAAAGAGGGCCGTTAGGACTGTTTTGAAAGGGATACGTATGTGCATTAACGGGATACATACATGGAGGACATAATCTTCTTATCTAGCTTTTAGCTAAGCTGCGCGGCGTACAGCATACACAAGCGATTGCATATGTATACGTACATAGACCCCCCTAAACACACACACACACACACACACACACACACACACACACACACACACACACACACACACACACACACACACACACACACACACACACACACACACACACACACACACACACACACACACACACACAACACACACACACACACACGTCCATACGCATTAGGACAGAAGCTATAAACCGCCCACGCTCTTCCCCGGGTGAGCTCGAGGGCCGCCCGGATTGCACAAAGGACAATAATGACCTGAGGACAAGTACGGGAATGAAGGACACGGGGGGGGGGTCACTGGCAGGGGGGCGGGTGGGCTGGAAGGGTATTAGAAAGGTGGGGGTGACAGGAGGGGGGGGGTAAAGGGGGTGGAAGCTGAATATGAGGGAGAAGGGAGGGTGACCGGAAGGGTTGGGGAGCAGGCGCTGGCTGTACGGGAGGGAGGGGGTGAGAGGAGGTGAGAGGAGCTGGTGAATAGTGTGGGGGAAAGGGTTGTCCTAGAAGGGTGGGTGAGGGGACTGGGGGTGGTGGAGAGGGGGTTAACTCGAAAGGTGAAGACGAGGGGGGCTAGACAGGATCGGAGGGGAGGGGGGATACCTAGGAGGTTACAGCAGAAAAGGAATAATTTCAATCGGGTACTTAAGGTATGTTTATATAGAGGCGAATTATATTGATATCAGCGTAGAAAGCGAATTATACGGGCAGATAAAAGGGGCTATCTGTGGGCGATTTCTCCAATGTGGCGGAAGCTCTTCCTCTCTTGCTAAATATCAATCCCTTTTCTCCACCATCCATCTCCCCTCACTCATTCCTCCCCTCGCCCTATCCTCCCCCGGCTTGCTCCCCATTTCCCCTTCTTCCTCTCCTCCCACCACTTTCTCCCTTCGCCCCACCTCACCCCTCCATCCCTCAATCACCCTCTCCCCTCCTCCCTCCCCCACATTCCCCTTTCCCTGTCCTCTCCCCCCGCCCCCTCCCCCGCAGCGCCGCAACAAAAGGACACTCCGCTCGTATTAATATAGTCCCGCTCCTGTAACGGCTATGTTAACCGTGGAATTGCAACAGTGCAGCGGTGATGGCGGTTATATTGTTACACATCCTGGCTTCGGTCACTGCCATATTGCAACATTTACATCCACGCACGCTTGCCCTTGTTGCCACACTATATTACTGCCACGGACGGTGCTGTCCGAGTTTAGGGGGCAGGGGGGAGGGGTAGGGCGATGGGATGAGGTAAGGAGGGAGGAAGGGGTAGGGGCGACAGGGGGGGGTGTAAAAGCTTTGGGCAGGGAGGGAGGAGAGGGAGAGGGAGGGATAGGGAGGGCCAAGGGGTGGGGTAGGAGGGAGGAGACGGATAGGGAGGGTCAAGGGTAGGGTAGGGAGAGGGGAGAGGGGGAGGGAGAGGGAGGGCTAAGGGTAGAGAGGGAGGCACACACTTCATACAGCTGTTGTAGCACGTATGAACTACCACAGTAGTTGCTGTTGTGTATCTTTGACTCGAATGGTGCAGGTCAGGGAAAGGAGGGGGGGGGCTTTGAACCGCTGGAGGTGGAGGGTTAGATGTGGATCCATGGACTTCGCTGTTAAAAGTGGAATGGAATCTTTAAAACTTCGTGTTCCTTTTATTTCATATTGATAATGATGCTACGAATATCCGTATCTATCTATAATATACAATTATGTATGTGTATATATATATATATATATATATATATATATATATATATATATATATATATATATATATATGTATGTATGTATGTATGTATGTATGTATGTATGTATGTATGTATTATGTATGTATTGTATGTATGTAGTATATTATATATATATATATATATATATATATATATATATATGTGTGTGTGTGTGTGTGTGTGTTGTGTGTGTGTGTGTGTGTGTGTGAGTATATATGTATATATATATACGTATGTATGTATGTATTGTATGTATGTATGTATGTATGTATGTATGTATGTATGTCTGTATGTATGCATGTATGCATGTATGCATGTATGTGCATGTATGTATGTATGTGCATGTATGTGTATGTAACTTTATTTATGTGTATGTATGTGTGTACGTATGTATGCATGCATATATGTATGTAAGTATGTGTGCATGCATGTATTTATATATGTAAATATGTATGTATGTATGTATATGTGTGGATATATAAATATATATGTACATATATATATATATATATATATATATATATATATATATATATATATATATATATATATATATATATATTATATATATATATATATATATATATATATATATATATATATATATATATATATATATATATATATATATATATATATATATATATGGGATTTCTACCAAAACTTATGAATGAATGAATTAAATTAGATATAAATACGGACGGACAAGAGACTTTCAAAACCAAACCTAAAATAAGTACTGGAGCGAAATTACTCTCCAAATGCTATGCACTGGCAATGAGTGCAACAAGCTCAACATTCGCCAGCCCTTTTTTAACAGAAAATGTGGCGAACGGCGTGCGACATATTTTGTCAAGGTAGAGTTAGTCTGCAACAAATGAGCTAAATAGACTATTTTCCCTTTTATTGGCCGGCGTGAGATTACAGGCAGCCCGCACTCGAACCCAAAGGAAGACTGATTCGCTGGCATGCTTCATTACCTTCATGGCGGCATGACATAGAGGATACAGGATATCTTCAGACCGCTAAACATAGACACATAAGCATCATGTCAAGCGGAAAATGGCTACATACTTCCGCAGATATTCCGGTCTTTGTATGTGTGAGTAAGCACGTCCGTATGTTGTGTTGTGTGTGTGTAAGTATGTGAGTGTAAGTGTTGAGTGGGTGTGTGTAAGTGTGTGAGTGTGAGTGTGTGTGTGTGAGTGTGTGTGTGTGTGTGTGTGTGTGTAGTGTTGTGTGTGTGTGTCGTGTGCGTGTGTGTGTGTGTGTGCGTGTGTGGGTGTGTGTTGTGTGTTGTGTGTGTGTGTGTGTGTGTGTGTGTGTGTGTGTGTGTGTGTGTGTGTGTGTGTGTGTGTGTGTGTTGTGTGTGTGTGTGTGTGGTGTGTGTGTGTGTGTGTGTACGGCGCGTACGTGTGTGCGCCTGTACCTGTGCACAGGCGGCAATAAAGCGCAGTTCAATACGAACTTGGCCAGAGTGCAAATTCGAGTATTTTGGCCGAAGTAAGACAGCTCGTATGAGGAATTTCATCCCGAAGGTAAAAGAAAAGGCAAGAAATTGGCCGGCGTGACAGCGGCCATCGACGATACGGAGAAATGATGAAAGTCAGAGCCGTGAACGCCACTTAGCGCGCGCCCAGACCGCCCGCCCTCCCCTCCCCCCTCTTCCTCCTTCTTGTTCTCTTTCTTCTTGCCCTCTTTTCCTTCTCCTCCTGTCCTTCCTGCGCCCTCTCTTCCCATTCTAATTCTTCCCTTCATCTCTCCCATCTTTCTTTTCTTCCTGCACTCCACCTTTTCCCTCTCCTATTTTTTTTCCTTATCCCTTTATTCCACTTTCTCAAGTCAAGCTTTATCCTCCTAATAAAATTTCACAGCTTAATCCACCTTCTTCCTTTTAGTCCTTCCCTTATTCCGCTCTATTTCTGTTTCATCATTCACGCCCTTTCTTTCTTTCCTCATCTTCCATTCCCCTTGTTCCTTTGAATTTCTCTTCCCTCTCCCCCTTTCGTCCGCTTTCCCTTCAATTTCTCTTCCTTCTCCTCTTCTCCCCTCCTCTATCTTTGTTCCCCTCCCTTCCCCTACTTTTTCTTAGATTTTCTTTTTCCTTCATCTCCTCTCTCTCCTCTTTCATCGCCTCCTCCACGTCCTTCTGCACTTTGAATTCGGTGTCACTTTTCACTCCCGTCTCCGCCTCCTCAAAAGGCCGAAGAAATGGCATCCAGATCCCTCATGTCTCCATTCATGAGGGACTCTCGGATGAAGGAAAGGGAAGGGGAGGGGAAGGGCTGAGGGGAAACGGAGGGGGAGAGAGGAAAGGGAAGGAGGAGGGTACGGGGGAAGGGGAAAGAGGAAGGGAGATGGGGGTAAACGGAGGAGGGAGATGGGGAGAGGAAGAGGTGGTGAAGGGGGAATAAGCGAGGGGGAAAGGAAGGGAAGGGGAGCAAGAGGGGAAGGGGAGGGGGAAGGAGAAGCGGAAAGAGGGAGAAAATTGAGTGGGGGGAGGGAAGGGAGGGAGAAAGGATTTGCGTAAAATAAGGAGACGATGAAGAGGGGGATTTTTCAAATGGAAATGAGGACTGAGAGAAAGGCAAAGAAGCGTAAGGGAAAAGAGAGGGAGAGAGAATGTGGAGAAGGAACAAGAAGTAAGGAACAAGAATAAGAACGTGACGATAAATATACACCAAGATTAATGGTTATAGGCGGGGAGAGGAAAAAAAGAGAGGAAAATAAAAGCCAAAGTGGAACACTGAGAAATATAAATGAAAGGGGGGAAGAGGGAAAGGGAGGACGAGGGCGAAGTGGGCCAAAAGCAGGGGGGGAAGGGGAGCCCCGAGTGCAGGTAATGGTCGCCGCCTTGTGATGATGCCCTCCGTTAATGGGCAGCGACGGGGCCGACACGCCGCTTGAGGGATCTGCTCCACCACCAAATCGGCGAAAAGTTGCCCGTCGGATTGGCCCCTTCTCGCCCGCGCCTCGCCTTGCTCTCCTCTCCTTGCGCTCGCGCCGCTCGGGAAATGTGTGTAGGTGGGCGGACATACACATTTATATATATACATTTCCAACTAATATATATATATATTATAACATATATATATATATATATATAATACACATATATGTGTCATATATGTATATATGTTACCATTGTATGTATATGTTATGTTACTGTAATATTATATATATATATATATTATATATATATATATATATACTATATATATATAGTATATATATTCATATATATAATATATATTTTATATATATATATATTTATATATATATATATTATATATATATATATATATATATATATATATATATATATATACATTATATGCATAACCACACCACACACACACACACACCACCAACACACACACACACAACACACACACACACACCACACACACATACACACAACACACACACCACACACACACACACACACACACACCCACATATATATATATATAGTTATAATATTATTTATTTATTTTATTCTATATTATACATACATACATACCATACATACATACATACATAACATACAATATATACATATACATACATTTAGATGACACACAATGTATGTATGTGTGTGTGTGTCTATTTACACATCAATATACTATACATACATACACACACCACAACACACACACCACACACACACACACCACACACATATATATATATTATATATAATATAATATATAATATATATATATATTATATATATATGTATATATACACTTTATATTGCATGCCAGATTGTTTTAGACCATTACATTTTTTTCTACTCTATCGCGCGGTGCGAGTAGTAACTCGTTATAGTTATATTCAGCACCTCTAATTTTCTCACATGGGTGGGAAGAGAGCGATGCACTGAAAAATAACTGAAACGTGCGGTAGGAACCACCGTAGCTTTTCCAAGACACGTAACCCTTTTCACACACACACACACACACACACACTACACAACACACGGACATGCTTCCTCACACGTACAAAGACATGAATATCTACGCAAGTATGTAGGTATTTTACGCTTGACTGAATGTTTATATGTCTATGCTTATCTTCTATGACTATCCTCATTCCCCAAATCCTAACAAACAGCATAGCATCATCCCCAACCTCTAAAATACGCAAATTATTCTTCCCTACCGAAAAATGGGGGGGAGAGGGGATGGGGGGCGAGCGGGCAAGAGAAACGGCTGCCCTCGGGAACAGGAGTAATTATACGGAATCAATCCCAGTACATACCAGCTACATGGCCCCACGCGACAAAAATGCTGCTAATTGAAGCGGCCTGATGGCGTGCTGGCCGCGGAAAAATAACTTGGGGAATATTTAATTAGCGATTCGGTAAAAGAAAAGAGTCCTCATGGTGCTTGAAATGGAAAAACAAGAAAGCTTAAAAAGTTGCTATACTCAGTGAAGGGAGAAAGAAAGGCTGGGAGAGTGGGAGAGGGAAAAGGAAGGCGAGGGAGAGGATCAGTGAAGGAGAGAGAGAGAGAAGAGCTGAGAGAGTGGAGAGAGAAAGGAAGAGGAGGGAGAAAGGAGAAGAGGCGAGAGTGAAAGAAAGAAGAGAAGAGAAGAGGGAGGAGGAGAAGGGGGAGGCGGAGAAGGAGAGAAGGAGAGAAAGGAGAGAGTGAGGGAGAGAAGGAGAAAGAAAGGAGGGAGGAGAAGGAGAGAGAGAGACGAGAGAGAGAGAGAGAGAGAGCGAGAGAGAGAGAGAGAGAGAGAGAGAGAGAGAGAGAGAGAGAGAGAGAGAGAGAGAGAGAGAGAGAGAAGAGAGAGATAGAGGAGAGAGAGAGAGAGAGAGGTAGAGAGAGAGGAGGGAGAGAGAGTAGAGAGAGGGAGAAATAGAAGAAGAAAGAGAGAGAGGAGAGAGAGAGAGAGAGAGAGAGAGAGAGAGAGAGGAGAGAGAGAGAGAGAGAGAGAGAGAGAGAGAGAAGAGAGAGAAAGAGAGAGAGGAGAGAAGAGAAGAGAGCGAAGGAAGAGAGGGAGGAGAGAAAGAAGAAAGAGAGGAGCGAAGAGAGCGACAGGAGCAGGCGCTTGAATCCCGGCTCCATAACCTCCCTTCGTGCAGAAGCCCATACCCCTGCTTTCTCGTCCGCTTCAACGCCTCGACTTTATCCCAAGCTGTGCAGCCACAAGAGGACGCCTAAATCACCACGTCATGCCCCTCCCCTTTCACCCTTTCCTTCTCGAATCCCCATTTGATCCCTCTTCTCGCCCCCTCCCCCTCCTATGACCCTCCCCACGCTATACCTGCCGATCCCTTTAACCCCTCCCATCCCCTCTCCATTGCCCCCCTCCCTCCTTCCCTTTTAAACTCCCCCATCCCCTCTTTTGCCCTCTCCTTCCCTTTAACCCTTCCCATCCCTTCTCCCTTGCCCCCCTCCCTCCTTCCCTTTTAAACCCCTCCCCCTTGCCTCCTCCTTCCCTTTAACCCTCCCCATCCCCTCTCCCTTGCCCCCTCCTTCCTTTAAACCCCTCCCATCCCCTCACCATAGCCCCTCCTTCCCTTTAACCCGTCCCATTTCCTCTCCCTCGTCTCCTCCTTCCCTTTAAACCCCTCCCATGCCTCCCTCCTCCTCTTACCCTCTTCCCTCCCACACACGCTCCCTCCCCTCCCCTACCACACAGGAACACTCACCCTCGTAAGGACAGCCGTGGAGCTCGACGCGCATGCAGACGGTCCGCGGATGGGGCGAGAAGGGCACGAAGCGGATCTTGGAGGCGATGATGGGCGGCACGAGCTCGTTCTTCACCGGCATGTACTGGTTCTTGTTGGCCTGCAGGATCTGGGGGAGGAAGAGGAAAATGCGGTGAGGATACGAGCGGAAGAAGAAATGCGTGAACGGATGGTGCGAGACAGAAGGGAATGGATGGTGCGAGACAGAAGGGAATGGATGGTGCGAGAAAGAAGAGAATGAATAATACGAGAAAGGAGAAATAATACGATTTTGGGAAAAGGAATAAAATGGAAACTATTTACTGTATACCCTTCAGTACAATATTCAGAAGTATTTGCAGCCGCCTGACTGTGAGCATGCAATTTCTCCGTTTTTCTAACAGAAACAAGAATATAAAATTCGTACAACAATTAAAGCATGTCAAAGACAGTCTTGAAAAACGTATCTATAAATATGTATATTTTTTCATGGAACCCATCCGTAACTGACCGTTGGCAGTGCCCCTCCCCCCCCCCTCCTCTCTCTCTCTCTGTCTCTCTCGCTCTCTCTCTCTCTCTTTCAGTCTTTGTCTTTGTCTTCGTCTCCGTCTCTCTCTGTCTCTTTGTCTCGTTGCCTCTATGTCTACCTGTCGTCGTCGTTGTCGCTGTCTCTGTTTCGTTGTGTCAATGTCTCTCGTTCTCTCTCTCCCCCTCCCCCTCTCTCTCCGTCCTCCGTTTTCCCATCTTTAATTATTTTTACTCCCTTCCTCCTGTTATATTCTCCCAATATCCGTTCCTGCACACGCCACTACACTCAGGTCGGGCTATATCAGACGTTCATGAAAAAAGGGATATTCGGCTCCCTGCATACCTCTCTCTCTCGATGTTAGTTTATATGGACTGATAAACAACGTAACCTATTCGTTCCAGGGAAGATCCATGGGGCAAACTGTTCTGAAATCTCTCTGTTATATGCCACGCGTGCCCTTCATTGTTCTTTTCTTCACGTTTTCTTCGTATTGTCCCATAGATATTCGATCATGATTGCCTGGAATACTCAGCATTCCCGAGAGACGCACGAGTCGCCCATTTACAACATCTAAGATCTAGCATTTACGTACGCTATATGTACACACATTTTCTCTCGTAATTAATTCACCTTCACACCACTTATCCTCTCTTCATCACCCCTTACCAGCCTACTCTCCCTTGCATCCCTCTCGCCTCGCCTTAGCCTCACACCGCTCACCCTAATCTTCCTCTCCTCCCCCTAGCTTCACCCTCAAGCCGTCCTAGAAGAGTGTCAGCGGTAATAAATCAGTAATCGGTTGCATCATTAACCCAAGCACATTAGACTATTCATCACTAAAGCTCTGGCTCGTCTTAAAGGCGAAATTCCAGCGAGGGGAGGAAAAGGGAGGAAAAGGGAGGGGAGGGAGGAGATAGAGGGAGGGAAAGAGGAGAGAGAGGGAGGAGAGCGGACAGGGCAGGATGGGAGGGGATGGGGAAGGAAAGTCTCTCTCGTCTCTCTCTCTCTCTCTCTCTCTCTCTCTCTCTCTCTCTCTCTCTCTCTCTCTCTCTCTCTCTCTCTCTCTCTCTCTCTCTCTCTCTCTCTCTCTCACACCACACACACACACACACACACACACACACACACACACACACACACACACACACACACACACACACACACACACACACACACACACACACACACGCACGCATGCACAATCTGCAAGAACAGAAAAACATAAAGTGGGAGCGAAGGACGAAGAAGCCACGCAGCGTAATTGGAAATGTCGTGTAAACAGATGTAAATGGGAGAGATGCAAGGAGCTCTCGGGTTGTTTCCCTTGTGTAAATTCCGCTTGTGGGGTTCCCTACTTTGCCGCACTGAATAAAACAACGGAAACAGAAAGGGGAAAAGGGAAAAGGGGGAAAGGGGAAGGGGAAAACGTAAAAATGGAAAAGAGAGAGAGAGAGAGAGAGAGAGAGAAAAGAAAAATGTAGCAAGGTGAATGTAGGGAATGGTGGGGGTGGGGTAGTAGGAGGTGAATCAGGAGGAAGGGAAAGGGGGAGGGAAGGAGAGGGATGGGGAAAAGATTAATGGGATAGGGGAATGGAAGAGGGATGTGGAAGTGAAGGGGGGGGGAGGGAAGGGAGAAGTAGGAAGAAAAGGGAGTTGGGAAGGGAAGGCGGAGAGGAGAAAGGGAGGGTACAGGAAAGTGGAAATGAAGAAGGATGGGGAGGAGAGGCTGGAGAGAAATAAGTTGGGGAGGGAAGGTGGCGGGAAAGGAAAGTGGAAATGAAGGAGGAGGATGGGGAGGAGAGGCTGGGATGAAAGGAGCCGGGGAGGAAAGGAAAAGTGGAGGTGAAGGAGGTGGATGGGGAGGGGGGCGGAACTCTTCTTTCAAAGCGAAATTTCGAGAGGCAAAAACGCTGGAAACTACCCGAAACTCTGTCGTAACGAAGTTAGCATACGGAACAGCCCGAGGCTCACGCTCCTTCCACCCGGTCCCTGGGTCGGGCCTGACACCGCGCAGGCTAACTACGTCGCTTTTTTTATTCTCTTTTTTGGTTCTCTTCTCTCTCTCTCTCTCTCTCTCTCTCTCTCTATCTATCTATCTATATCTCTCTCTCCCTCCCTCCCTCCATCTCTCTCTCTCTCTCTCTCTCTCTCTCTCTCTCTCTCTCTCTCTCTCTCTCTCTCTCTCTCTCTCTCTCTCTCTCTCTCTCTCTCTCTCTCTCTCTCTCTCTCTCTCTCTCTTTCCCCTCCCCTCCTCCTCTCTCTCCTACTTTTTTTCTTTCTATTTTTTTCGCGAATCTACGGCAACATTGCGGAATGATTTCACAGTCCATTGTCAATGTGTAAACATATTTTGTGTATTTTATGTTTGGGAGGCGGGGAGATCCTATCCTAAGATGGGCGAAATGAGGTTGGGGGAAGAGGGAAGGAAAGCAGAGGGGAGTGAAGGAAAGAGGAGGGAAAGGGTGAGGAAGGGTGAAGAACGAAGGAAGGAGGAGGGAAAGGGTGAGGAAGGTCGAAGAAGGAAAGAGGAGGGAAAGGGTGAGGAAGGGTGAAGAAGGAAGGAAGGAGGAGGGAAAGGGTGATGAAGGGTGAATATGGGAGGATGGAGGAGGGGAAGGGATTGCCGGGATATAGAGGGGGAGGGAAGGAAGGGAGAGGGGAAGGGTGAGGGAGAGAGAGACGGGAAGAGAGGGGAGAGGAACGAAGGTGATGGGTAGGAAAAAGAGGGGAGGGGAGGAAGAGGGGACGAGTGAAGCGCCGACTGAAGGCTTTGCTAACTTATCGTCTACACCCTTCCATCTGCTTTT